CTGCATAATGTAAATGGTAATTACTAAGTAATCATTTGCTTTCACAAAATTAAATCCCTCACAAAAAATTATTATTTCACATTTATCATTATTTTCACAGTTGAACAAAAAAAATGTACAGTTATCATTATTGTTAAACTTTGATTGTGAAAGAAGTTAAAACTTGTCTTGCCCTGATAAATACATAGGCAAAAAAAAGAAAAGAAAACAAGTCACTGTCCAAAAAAGTATATATGTTGGTAGGTTGGTTGTTTTTGTTTTTTAAGTAATTCTTGTATAATATTCATACATTTTTTTTTATTCCATTAATGAATGATTTGTAAAATCAGAAAAGCAAAACAATTATTATCAGCAGCTTAAAAAGGGCAAAAAGGCCTAAAATGAAAGGATTTTTTTTTTGGACTTAAAAAAACCCCAAACACCCCAGATTGATCATTCTAACTATATCACATTGCTTATAGAAATTTATTTTCTGATTTACAAATATAACATGTTCCCCCATAATGTTCTGAGTCACTCAATGATGGACAAAATATTTCACAATAAATGCACTTCAAAAATCACATTTAATAACTGAGATGATGGATTAAGTAATTACCTAACTTGAAACCATTTTATTTGTTTTAGATAGAATTCTTCAAAATGATTCAATAAAAATTAAAAATTCAACCCTTTCTGAGATCATATTAGTTCAACACACATTACAGATATTAAAAAAAAAACAACAACGTTAAACAGTTCTGTGAAATAATTTTTTAAAAGTTCAAAAGTCAACCTGGACCACTTATGTCAATGACTCGTGCTATAGTAACTTTATGTTTTCAATGAGCACATGTAGTAATGAGAAAAACTCAAACAATGCTAACCACCTGCCTTTCCTGTCATAGGCAAATACTGTATGATATCAATACTTGTTCATTATCATAAATCATAACCAGCCTAGTTCAGACATGTACATTATCAAAAATCATAACTACTCAAGTTCAAACTTGATTAATCAAAAATCAAAATTCAGTTAAGTCTCACTTGTTAATCATATACAACCACAATCAAGCATTTGCCATATGATCAGCATCTACTTTTTTTAATGAAACATTGGATTATAAGTTGAAATGTTTTAATCATATCTACAATGTTTCAACAAAAATACTGAAATGCTGAATGAAAAACGTAGCAAATCTAGTTTGGGATGGTTTTTCCCCCTATCTATCTAGAACAGTTTAAAAAGTGTCAAAAGGCATGACTTTTGACATGCTTTCTATTAAAGGAAACATCTTCCTAAGATTGGTGTACATTTTGATAAAGGTCTGGACTTATAACTTGTGTGCAAATTTTCAGTTCATTCCCTAATTCCGTTTTTCCACAATAATCATTTTTATTGCACAAATTGACCAGAAAATGAAAAGCGTTGCAACGCTTTTCACTAAAATCCAGCTGAAATAGCACAGAAAATCAATTCTGTGTATTTTTCTTTGTTATCCTTTGCAGAGTTTACCATTTTAAGGTTCACTTGACATTTTTAAGATTTTCAAGTTTTATGTTTTAGGCCTGAGTGGAGTTCCTTTAAGAAGTAAATGTCACAACTTTTTCAAATGAATATAAAAGGGTTAAGAATTATTCAATATTGGACATGTATTTAATTTATGTATATCTACTTGTGTGACTTTTACTACGACAGGACAGAATTAAGATGTGAATTTGTCATCCGTCCATTATTCAATATTGGACATGTATTCAACTTATGTGGATCTACTTGCGTGACTTTTACTACGACATGGCAGAATTAAGATGTGAATTTGTCATCCATCCATTATTCAATATTGGACATGTATTCAACTTATGTGGATCTACTTGCGTGGATTTTACCATGATATGACCGAATTTAGATGTGAATTCGTGGTACATCCAGTTATTCAATATTGGACATGTATTCAACTTATGTGGATCTACTTGCGTGACTTTTACTACAACATGGCAGAATTAAGATGTGAATTTGTCATCCGTCCATTATTCAATATTGGACATGTATTCAACTTATGTGGATCTACTTGCGTGACTTTTACTACAACATGGCAGAATTAAGATGTGAATTTGTCATCCGTCCATTATTCAATATTGGACATGTATTCAACTTATGTGGATCTACTTGCGTGGATTTTACCATGATATGACCGAATTTAGATGTGAATTTGTGGTAGGATTTAATTCATGTGTGTTATGGAATTTCACTTTTGCTTGTATATATTTGTTAACATAAGACATAAATGCTTTGGAATGTGACCATGTAATTTGAAATTATATACAATAGAGGCTATTGAATGAATGTAGACTCAATACTGAATTTATTGAATAAGTTGAATAAAACTGTATAATACCAGCTTCTGGCAAGCATTATATTATTTTATTGAACGGGTTCAATGAAGTAAGTAATGGGTTACAGGAAAATAATAAAACTATTAAAAAAAAAACTGCTTAAGAAAAAAAAATCACTTTTTAAGACTGTCTATAGTGTAACTCTAACATTAAGTGTGTCTTTAAACTAGGTTTGTTTAACACAAATGACATCACAAATCTACATATGGCCGTGCAATCCAATTTTTAAGGATTTGCAAAAGCAGCATGGGTATGTGATAAATTCTATAACTGAACAGTATCAAGAGTTTGAAATAGATCTCATTCTTAGGTACAGTATGAAGTAAACAGGAGAGTCTGAAATATAAAACCTATGTACAACATATATATTTTATAACATAAAAATCTGTTTGTCTATACATACATAAAAACTAGCCCAAATTGTATAAAGACTTATCCCTAAACAAAGTGGTTAAATGTAAAATTTAGTGTCAAATGAAATCATGTAGCTAATAAAAATGATAAATTCATATAGCAAAACGGATACTTGAAAGATCCTATATTTCATTTCAACATTCAAAAATATATAAACATTGTATTTCCCCCCTCACATATCAACAATACACAAGAAAACACTGAGTACAGAGGTTGAATAAAATATGCATTTTCTAACAATTTTATCACTGTTTTTCTTTCTTCAATTTACAAAAGAAATTTCCATTTTTCTTTCCTCAAAATATCAAATATCATTAAAATATTCAAAAAGTACATGTCACTTTATGCAAAAGTCAAGTTTAATCTCTCCAATATACCCCATCTCATTACCCTGAGTTTGGAGATGTGCAAGATAGTGGGGACAAAAATTTCTTTCCCTTTTGTCTCTTTCTGCACTGTCGGTCAATATGGTTTTACTAGATTCAAAATAACAGTGTATTCCTATTTGCCTATTCTAGACAATCTGGGTTCAATGTGTTGGTTTTGTTATGGATAAATAATAACAGTGTATATGGATAAAAAATAACAGTGTTTATGCCTGACAACCACTGAGTGGACATAAAATGGAGGTTGTACCATCTGCCCGTCAAAGCAAAGCAAGGCCTTTACCAGGAGGCTTAAGTCCCCAATATTTACCAGTTATGTGTGTGGGCAAGTCCCCACAATTCACCAGTTGTGTGTGGGCAAGTCCCCACAATTCACCAGTTGTGTGTGGGCAAGTCCCCACAATTCACCAGTTGTGTGTGGGCAAGTCCCCACAATTCACAGTTGTGTGTATGTGTATAAGTCCCCGCAATTCACCAGTTGTGTGTGGGCAAGTCCCCACAATTCAAAGTGTGTGTATGTGTGTGTAGATGGGTAAGGGAGAGATGAAACTGACTGGTGCATTACATTCTGTGACAACTTTCTGACAGCAGCACTAAATAAATGGTACAATTTTATCACATATTTTGTGTAAGGCAACATGGTATCACAAATTGAAACTTTGTTAAAATATTTCACTACAAAAGTCCTGCAATTTTAGCTCTCATTGAAGAAACAATCATTCACATTGAGGAAGATCCAAATGTTTAATAACAATGCCCTATAATTATTTCAGATCATACAATCCAATCTAGTCAAATAATTGAGATTTTAGGACACCCAACAATTTGCCGAAGAAATTTCGCCTTGGACATACAAACTGGCCTAACACATACCAGTATTGCTCAAACAGTTAAATGTCACATTTAAGTAAGGTTAATTCATTTATTTTGATTGTTTTGTCCATGAGATAATATCCAGAAATACAATTCTAAATATAAAAGTGACATATTACATAATTACCTAATTGATTCTTGAGTTGTAATTCATTTGCATATTATTGTATAATATTTACTCATTCATTTGCATATTAATGTAGAATATTCATATATTTGTTTACATATTAATGTAGAATATGTAGTTGCTTATAAGCATATCAATGCATATAATGTAAAACATTCACGAGTTAATTTGCATAATAAGGACAAATGTTTTCTATTTTAACTTGCATATTAACGTAAAACATTTACATATTCATTTGCATATCAATAAATCTAAAACTGCAATTACGAATAATCAAATGGTAAAAGACCAATACAATAAAGGTAAAAAAGTTACCTTGATTTCTCATGAAGGCACTTGTCATAAGTTGGAAAAAAAATGAAAAATTAAACAGAATTTCCACAAATGAAACAATTGCTCAATTCTTATTTAAATTTTCACCAATGAAAATGCATGTTAGAAAATTTCCACAAATTACAAAATGCTTGTAAATGATTTATCTATAAAAATACTTTTAAAATTCTAATTTATATTTCCTCCAATGAAAACGCTTGTTCAATAATTTTCAATACAAATGTATATTTTTAATGATTCTACATGTATAAAATGGGACAATAAAGTCAATGATATGAGATGTCATATCCGCCTTTTTTTAACACTTGTTTTTACTTTTCCAGTCTTCAGCTAGCGCACATTTCATATTTTATCTTTTACTTCTTTTTTATATGCAAAAAAAAAATAATCTATTGACTGCCAAAATATATTTCTTTTATCTTATATACAAATAGATCTGGTACAAAAATTTACATCGATTATAATATATTTGTGCCAAGAACAACAACAAGATATACAAGTTATAAAATCTTTTTTTACGTAAAATACTGCATAGTTTACTCATGTCTATCAGCATATGTACATATGTGTATATGAATGTACATATGTGTATATATGTATTATGTTATATATATACATATGTGTGTATATATTCTAAACATTTGTATTGCTCTAGGAAAAGCTTAAAAACAATTTGATAAGCAAATAAAACATAAAAAAGCGCATGTACAATATAATCAAATATACACATCTAAAGAAAATCATAACAAGTTTGCACACACAAACTAAACATTGCAAAAATAATAAAAAAGACTAAATGGTTTTAAACAATAATTAGAGAAAGCCAATACTAATACTATTGAACAGGCTCTCTGGCAGCGTAGAGAAAAAAATCTACAAAAAAAAATAATGTCAGAATGGAAAAAGCTAAAAAATTATTTTAATCAATATAGCATAATCAAAGAGAAAAAAAAGAAGAAAAAAAAGGAAGATTTAAGCACAAAATTAGGAGGTCAAATATGGTGATGTGATCTTTTAAATGATAATTTATCAAAAATGTTATTTCATCATTAATAAAATACATCATTTTATTACTGTGCAAATAAAATTCTACAAAAGGACAACAGAAAAACAACTGTGCGACCTTTGAACAACAATAATTTTAAAGGACCTTTAAAATCAATGCCTTTGACCTACCTCACTCAAACTAAAAATTTATAAAAATTGATGCTAAAATTTTTAATTCATTCAAACTGTGGTCAAAACTAAACAAATTGATGATTTGACAAACATAAAAATACACAAAAGCGGCCCTCGTAAAATTCAACAGAAGTCTCATATCCCTTGTGAAAAACAGATTCATAAAATCTACATATATATATTCTCTAACATATCATACAATAAATTTATAAAAGGATTAAAAACCTGATAAACCATTATACTTTTAACATGGTATATAAAATTCAAATAAATGGAATGAAATTCAACCAATGCTATTTACAGGTAAACAAGAAAATATACACAGTTTTGTTATTTTTCTTCGCAATTATATACAAGTATAGATATACAAAGGAAAGAAGAAAAAAAAACATCTATAAAAGTGATGCTCTGCCCACATACACTGTATTTATCTTCTAAAAAAGAGACAAACAACAACAAAAGGTTTCTATGGCAACAACCTGATAGTAATAATTACATATACTGGGCAAAATGGCAACAACCTGATAGTAATAATTACATATACTGGGCAAAGTCTTTCCCAGTGAAATATTTGCTTAGATGGTACTGCATGTGAAACTTGTACAAAAACAATTTTTCTCATACTTTTGTCATAGTTCATTACAAAGCCTGACCACTTTCTTTATTTCAAAGTTTTCATAAAAACATCTTACTATATTCTTTAATCAAAAGTTTTCATTAAGAGGTCTAACCATTTTCTTTAATTGAAATTTTCATTTAGAGGTCTAACCATTTTCAGTAATTCCAATTTTCATATTGAGGTCTGTCAATTTTCTTTAATTCAAAATGTTCATTAAAGAGGTTTTTCCATATTCTTTCATTTAAAGTTTTCATAAGAAAATCTTATCATTTTCCTCAATTTTTATGCTTTCATTAGGTCAAAGCATGAGAAAATATTTTTAACATTCTTCAGAGAAAATGATTCAGCTGGCATAAAGCCCAGTCATCTAACTTATTAAAATGCATTTAAAATATAATTCCTGTCTTCCAAGGAAAGAATTTTTTCATAAAACCAAAAACAAGTATACTCCTTATAAAATAAAAGAGAGAAAAAAAAAGATCAACAATTTTTCTTGTCAGGCTTCGCTAAAATCAATGTATCAGTTGCTATTCTCGTTTCTTACATTTTCTCTGATGACGCAATAAAGCTTTTCTTTTCTTGAACACCTGATGACAGTTTTCACATACAGGGTATCGATAACCTTCCCAGCGTGATTTTTTTGGTTCCATGTCTTCTTCTGTTTCGCTCTCAGCTTCACTCTCTTCTTCGCTGCTTTCCTCTTCTTCTTCCTCCTCTTCTTCTTCTTCATCCTCTTCTTCATCTTCTACTACTTCTTCTTCTTCCGCCTCTCCTTCTTCTTCCTCTTCTTCGTCTTCAACTTCTTCTTTTATTATATTGCGTGCTTTCCTTGGAGCGTTCCTGCGTTCTGGAATTATCTTGGATTTATCAATCTTGATGCGTACAGGGGAAATCTTAGCTGGCGATGAACTTTTTGTTGGAGATTTACGTTTTGATGCGGAAACCTCAGATTTGGAATCAGACTCCTCGGGCGATTCCTTCTTTGGCTGATTTTCCTTCTTACGATAAAACAATGGCGGATCCATTTTTCCACCATTGTGTTTCTTATTATGAAGGCGTAACTGGATTTTCTGGGCGAAAGACACATTACAGAGATCACATTTATGAGGTTTCACATCCATATGGGTGAACTCATGCTTCCGTAAACTTGAATTAGAACTGAATGTTTTATGGCATGTTTTACATGTGGGCGGTTGTTTTGGAGTTGATGATTTTGGACTGGTAATGCTTTTACTGCCACCATTTTGTTTTCCATCCGAGTTATTTTTGTTTTCATTTTTCGGAGTGTGTTTTTGTTCACTATCATCTTGCTCCTGAGCAGTCATACCTAAATGCATATTCATGTGTTTCTTAAGACTTTCCTTAGCAAGGAAATATTTGTTACACATGGTGCACTCGAACCGTTTATAGTCATTATTGTGCCTTCTCATATGGATATGCAAACTCACCTTCCATCGGAAACTAACATTACATTCTTCACACTCATAGATCTGCTCGCCAGTGTGAGTGCGTCGATGGCGGACAAGGTGGGCCCGAGTAAGAAAAATACTGTTACAGTCGTCGCACTTGAATTCTCTATCGACAGCATGTTGCAGCTTGAAATGGTTGTCGAGGCTTTCCTTGCTAATGAAGATCTGCTGGCAGACCTCACATTCGTGCTCATCATATTTGTTCCCTTCTTCGTCAAATGAGTCGTAAAGTGACGCATCATAGTCAACATCATCATCATCATCAGACTTATTGTTCCAAGCTTCACTCATCGAATTATCCTCACTTGTTACTAAAGCAGAAAAATAAGAAAAAACCCATTTTGGAAAATGATAAATAAAACAAGATGCACAAATGCATTTTCAAAATTCTGTTTTTAAAGGAACGTTTCAGTTATTCTTAAGATTCAATAGGTTAATAAATAAAAATAAATGATTATAAAAGAGCAGTCCAGTAGGACAGCTTGCTTTAATAGAATGTTATTGGGAAAAAAACATTTGTTTTGTTTTTGCAAAGTAGACCATGGTGGGCTATTCAATTAAGCAGCTTTACAACATTTTCATACTTTTCCATTGGTAGCCTCGGTTAAATCAGTGATTTTCCCCCATATTTTACAGCCCCATAAAGGCTGTGTTCGCTAGCCAAAACTAGGTATACATGAATCTTCCCCTAAAAATGCTTTATTTTCTCCTGAAATGCCCAGTTCACATTCTTCACCAGAACCTTGACTCAACAGCAACTGACTTATATCAGCTAGTAAATAAATTTATCCCTATAGATAGCCTCTGCTATCCATGTATGTTAAATTGAATGGCAATTATAAATTTTATAAAATGTGTGGGTAAATTTCATTCTCAGTTGTTGGAATTCGATTTCAGGTTTTCCCCCTTTTCTGATTTATTGTGCTATATTTTCCCCTTCGGAAAATCACAGGTTGTTATGAAAATTGAAAAGAGAATCACTGTAACAAGTTTAAATGTATTTGCATGTTACAAATATTTTGTACTTTTCAGATCACATCTCAAACCGCGCCAAAATAAATGGAGGTTTTCTTACCTACCCTCTTTTTTCATTGCTGACCTTAGACTTTTGCCTTTCAACTTTTTTTTTACAATATAGACCTGATATGAAATCAATTAGTAATGTGTCCGCTGATTAGTGAAGTCTTTGGATTGACAGCTTGGCAGACAAGGGCAAAACTGTAAGCCCACCACTTACCTCTCTTAAGCAATGAGGGTATGAAAAGATAAAATTTACACAATACTTACATGATGGGGGTGTCTGTGCGACACTTCCATCAGTATTTCCTCCTTCCTCGTGTGTCCGTAAGTGACGTTCATACCTGAACTTGTGTTTAAAGCGTTTGTTACATTTGGCACACTGGAACGGTAATTCTCCTGTATGCTGGAACATGTGGTTCTTCAAATGATGATGAATGTAGAACAGTTTGTCACACACATGGCACTTGTATGGCTTCTCACCTGTGTTATTATAATAACAATAATAATAATAATTAACATGATGATAAAATAAAACAAAACACAGAATTATCAATGTGTATTCTCCTGCTTTGTTGTCCATTTTATTCAGATTTAAGAAAACTTTTTATTCGTAACGCATCTTTTCCCACACTGAATAAGTTTTATTATATCATGTCATCTAATAATAAACATAGATTATTACTGATAATTAAGTACTTGGAACAAAGCTTTTGATTTACGATCTTATACCATGGAACAAATTGATAAATGAGACGAAATTTAATGAATATTATTAACACTACTTTGTTATTTGTTAATTTAAAAACGAATACTGATATTTGAAATGTTTATATATATATGTATCTTGTAGTTATGTGTGCTATATTTCAAGAACTATGTATGTATATGTTTTGTATGTATTGCCAAAGGCAAGGATTTGCCGATTTGCAAATAAAATTTGAACTTGAACTTCTTGAATTCAGTAAAAGTTAAAAACAAGCCATACAAACATGTAGTGATGTATCTAATGCAAACGTTTCATTAGTACATAACATATTAACTTGAAATAACATCATAACGGAATACATGTTTTTTGCTCTTTCCTTTTTCACTGAATTAACTGACATAGAATTTGACTAGATTTGTTCTCAAATAAGATGTTAATATTTGTATCATAAAAACTTGCATACATATGTAGCCTGATATACTTTATTTTCAACATAAGTAACATTTCAATAATAATCTTAAAAATAAATATTTTGTGTTCACCACGAACATTGCATTTTTTCTTGTGTTGAACTTGGTCAAATATGTTTTAGTTTCAATGTAAATATGACATGACATTATACATGTACAATAATCGGAATATGATGAAAATCAAATATACCAATAATACAGAATTTGTGTAAAACTGCTTGAAATAAAAAAAAAAAATCTGTATTCAACCATTTATTCATGGTTTCAATGAGTATTCTGGTCCAACCACTTAGCTTAATAGGAAGAGGGTTGGCTTTGTAAACCATCGGCTTGCTGGTTTATTTATTAAGAAATAATTTTAGTTGGATTGTGAAGGATGCTATAAGCTTAAAAACACACTCTGGAATCATGCTTCTGGAACAAACCAGTACTGAGAAATGACTGTGTGAGTGAATAAGTGTAATGTTTCTTGCTCAAGGAAACAACGGCTTGCCTTTGACAGTCACAGTATTTGAACCAACAAAACAAGAGATCCTCAGATTACAAAATCCAAATCCATTACAATAACCACTCATATATGGGATCACTCGCTGGTTTTGACCATCAGGCAAGGCTAGATTTCTCCATGACATTTGATCTTGGAAATAGAGCGTAATAAGGTAATTGTTATTTGTCTCTCATTGGCCTATCAAAAATCATGTGTGTTTATTATTTGGTCACATACAGAGAAATGGGTAATTACTAGTTATTTATCAAGGAAAGTTTGTTATGTCAATTGACCACCAAGATATAACCAAATCACTGTGTTAAAATCAGGGTAACAAATAGAATTCTGAAATCTGAACGTTAAAACATTTAATTCAACTGGACTTTTAAAATGGACAGATGCAAAAGATAGTAAAATAATTAATCACAATTACATTGAAAACCTTTTTAAGTTAAAAGCTTTCATTTTTGGGTCATTTTTACAATTAAAACCTTCATCAAATAGTACAGTACACATTTGTCAAAATAATATTTCCAGTCCAGTCATGTCAAAAAACCCTCAAATAATTAATTCCTTTAATTTAACAACAGATGTTCCATGTTTAAAGCTTGCCTTGTTAATCAAAGGACTGGAAAAGAGCAATGGTTGAAAATATTCAAGCTACAAACCTGTATGCACTCGCATGTGCTTTGTAAGGTTGTGTTTTTGGGTGTAACTGTTCCCACAAAGTTCACACGAGAATTTTTTCATGCCTGTGTGAATTTCTCGATGTCGTCTCATGCTGGCACTCGAGCTGAACACCTTGTCACATATATCACAGTGGTGCTCCGTGCTGGAATTCTGCAAACATGTCGTAAATAAATATTATAACAGATAGGAATGGACCTTTACTTTAGGGCAAACAAACCCTAGATCAAAAACCTTTTGGATAATAAGAAAAGGTACTTAACTTTAAGTTATAAGCCTATTAAAATGAGACATCAGCACTGGTTAGTTACAGGTGAAGGACTTAAAAAAGAATAACATAGTCATACACTGCAAAAATTTGTTTAACAATTAAGATTAAAAGAACATACATTATTAACTAAACTTAAATATTAAAAAAAATACAATACAGAATACATGTGTGTGAGGATAGAGCTGTCATCAATGAAATCGATATTCATGTATGGTGGATAGTTTTTGTGGCTTGATTATTGATAAATGTTTGAAACAGTGATAATTTCAGCTAATTAATAAAATGTCTAGAAATGATGAAAATTCAACAAAAACATACACAGAACCAGGTGCCCTGTCAAAAAAAGACATGTTTTAAACTATGCCCTTGTTTCTTTTTGGATTTTATTTATTATTTTGTTTATAGCAGTGATGACAAAGTATGGCCAGAAAAAAATATGCATAGGGCATTCATAAACTTTACACACCCTAATTTTATGCACATGGCAAGCATTTTACAAAAATTATAAAACAGATATAAAAGTGTACTGTAGATAACTAATACTTGGTATATTGATGTATCATCAAAATATTGTTGTCCGATATTGATATATTTCTAAATACTTCTGATTAAATCAATGACAGCTCTAGCAATGAAGAACATTTTTACCATGGGTTTCTTGGGAGTAATGTATTTACTATCTCCATTTACTGCCACAGGTAAAGAGGACTGGTTTAAGGGTTGGTTGTTATAAAGATTAGGGGTTTGAGCATTGGTCTGAAGTGTCCCCTGAGGCTGAGTTCCTGGTGTATACTGAAATCCGGTTGGCTGAAAGGGTACGTGCCCATAAGTCCCTGAACCGTCGTATCCATAATTATGGTTGTTGTTGCTGACATCGTAATGGTAGGGCTCACTTTCAAATTTGATTGGTCCAATTGAGTTGCCTATCTGCCCATTGAAGGATGCCGTATTTGTAGCAGGGTAGCCATCCATCCTAGATATTCCCTGAAAATATTCAGAAATCTAATAGTAACAAGCCATTATGAAAAATTAACTTCAACTCAAGATCTCTTACAACTGGCCAATTTCTGAGTGACAAATTCACCTAAAGTTTTGGAACTTTGCCAAGTTTGAACATCAAAGCAAAAATGACTTTGCTGTGTTTTTCATTACCATACCATGTTTATGTAACACTTTGTGCTTGTCAATAAACTACAAAACTAAATTTGGTATTGCTAATTGACAGCAATTAACATATCAAATTATCATGATTCATCAGTGATCACGTTTGTGGTTCCATTGCCATTTTAAAGGTACAAAATTACTAAGCACAATTTAAATGACACAGGACTGTATTTTTATTAGCAAGTTTACACGGTAAACACCTTGAATCGGTCAAAATTACCATATTTGGCAGTAGTCCTACACAAAGATCTCAATGACCATGTAAATTTATATGTAAAAATTAATGCCAAACAGTAAATGGCTAAGTAATGAGGGTTCGACACTTACTGTTTTTACAAGGGATCCCATAGGAATCCCTAAGTAAGATTTAATTCAGGGATTCCTCCTAAATGTCAGGGATTCCTCAGATCAAAATAGTAAAATATGAAGGCGAAGAATAACAAGGGAGTCCAGCAATCCGATTTCAAATTCTTTTTTTTAAGACCACATACAGGATATATATTTCCTTGTTTCAGATGCAGAAAATGTAGTTTAAAAGTCCTCTGGAAATATTGCTGTTTAAAGTTTTAAAAGTGTTTCAAAGTGTTTACTAGTATATATATATATATATATAATTGGACCGATAAGATAAATTAATACATTTTTACATGCACGGAAACAGAATAACATTAAGCTCAATGAACAAGAGTTCGATTTGAAAATACAAATTTTGCTAAATCCTGTTTTCTCCTTGGTGTTGATAATTGTGAACCAGTTTCTGTAAATGAAGGTATAATGCAAGTGACTGGGCAATGGGACTTAGGATTTGAACTTTTAAAGTTAAGTATGAACTGGGGAAACATTTTCCCAGATAGCCTAGGGTTCACTGAAATAGAGCCCACTTATGATCTGTAGATCTTTAAAAAATTACAGGTAATGATTAGGCTCAATATTCCAGTAAGTTCTGGTGTGGATAACTACTATTGTGTCATTTAAAAGAAATGTTTAATTATGATCACTTTAAAAAAATAAGTGATTTTCAGCTTACTGTAAACTTTTTTTGTTTAAAAGGAAATATCCCATACTAGATTGTTGTAAATTAAATATTTTGTTAATTTTTTACTGAGAAAAAAGTTTTGTATGCATTACAAGTAGGGTACCTTCAAATGATTTCATTTTTAAAAATAAAAAGTTGCTGCAAGTCCATGACAACAACAAACACTTGTTGACTTCGTAGCTATCGCCGGCAACGCCGATCAGCACATATTTGAAGTACACACCGCTTGTGTAATAATTATACGATAATTAATTTACATTTCTTTTTTGAATTTTCACAACTTAATACTATGAAGTCAATGGATGATATAAAATTATTCAAGAATGTTTCTTTAGCCAAAATATTTTTCATTATATATCGCAAATGAGTTGATAGCAGTCACTGCACAAAGGAAAACTGGCGTACATGATACGAGAGCGTAGATTTTACCGGCGGGATTTTTCTTGTCTTTCTTGAACCTTGCAGTTGTGCCAGTCTTTTTTAACACTTTTCTTGAATATTTGTGATTCAATGATATTAATTCAGACAATTTAAAAAATTTACACAGCAATTTTTCAAGGATCCCAACGGAATCCCCAGCTAGGAATCACAGAGATTTCTCCCGACTTTTTGGGATCCTCGGAATCCCGTTAATGTCGAACCCTGTGTGTACATCAAATTAAAGTCAGTGCTCAGCATCTTGATATTGCTTGAGTAGCAGTTGCAAAGAAACAGATTTACAGCCCACTTTCAATTCATCATTTAAACACCTTTTTGAAATGTAACAAATTAGGTTTCATCTGATTTAGCGTGTTGGTAATTATTATTGTTACCTTAAGAAATTATGCATTCTAAGATTCTTTAACATTTACATCAATTCTATAAAACCAAGAGCTGTCGGACGGACAGAGTGCTCAACTATTCTCAGTGTTTGAAAGTAAAACAAGAGCTTTGATAATGTAGATTTTTCCAAGTCCAAAAAGGGTCATATTTCTGTAAAAATCTAGGTTAGAGTCAAGGGCTTTAATGCTCAATCAACTTGCACCTAATAACTAAATCAAAGTGCGACGCCCACAACTGGGCGAGTCAATACTCAAGCTAAAATTGATTTAATAAATGGAAACAAATTTTGCACTTGTTTGTATAAACAGGATTATATTTCCAGTATTTGATTCAATAGACATTGCGTTCACATGTACACTGTAACATAACAGCCCAATTACTGCAGGAAGTAGTATTATGATGAAAGTTCATCTAATTATCCATGGAATACAATTCTCATTGTTAGCTGCTGGGAATATCAATGTGTTTGATAAAGCTTTGGCCTTGAGCTTTCATGTAGAAATTCTGACCCAGTATAAAAATATCACAGAATCAACCTTTTGCGCATCAATATATTTGACGTCAATTTAACTATGAACATCTCAAAACTCCTATGTTTTGGCAGGTAATTTTTCTCCTGGCAGGACTATTTGCCAAGCTTTGAAAGAACTTCCCTTTCTGGATATATTTGCCTAGTTTAATCTAATATAACAGCCTCGTTTTAGTGAAATTTATTCGATATACAGCTTTAAATATTACAAATACACAACCTACTTTTCATTTTAATTAAATACAATCTCCTAATTTGACAAAACTAGCAAACAAATAAATTTATATGCAGTTTATTACTGTTTCTTGAATTTAAAACATTTACTGAGTAACCATTTGAATAAAAAGTCGTGAAGTGTTTTTGAAAGAAACAAGAATATTTTCAGGGCATATCCGCTTTCTAGTCCATATCCGAAATTTTCCAGTTTAACCACGGTTTTACATTTTAACATTTCCTGTGGAAATCTGAAGGAGGGCATGTAAATTATTGAACCCATAACATGCCACTTAGATGACTTAACAGATTGATGGTCATATTTTAAACATTAATTTTTGCCTAAAAGCAAAACATTACTTTTTCTAGGAAATAATTCTTCCGTGTCCGGCGATGCAAATGGCGAGGGACGCGACTATGCAAGGGAGACAATAGCTCGATCAAAACATTCGCACTTTTAAATATCGTACCTTTGACAGTTATTAAGAACTGTCATAAGAAAGCCTTATACAAACATTATAAAATAGTATTCTTCCGGTCCTCTATTATGACAATGAAGAAATATGCAGAAGTATACTAAAGAATAGTATACTTAAAATGTAGAGAATTGGAATCCCTATTTAAAGATAGTCCAAATCAACAGATTTACAGATTTATGCAAACACTATACATGGTTAAAGACATTTTAGAAAATAAGCACCATTTAATAATTTTCGCATCAGTCATCTTATTTTTTTCACAATCCGGTGTTTACTTCGTAAACTTTTTGTTCAAAATCGAATCTTCATTAATTGTTCAAACATTTATTTAATTTTGATAGCCATGCAAGTAAGCTGTTTAGACCAAGTGCATGTAGAATTAACATCGATATATTTCGAAAAGCAGCATTTTATTTTCGTGACACGTTAATTTTCATGACGTGATATTTCATATACATATACAGTTTTGGTTTTAACATGAACTTTTATTTTTCAATTTCATGAACAAAAATATAAGACTCTTCATACATTATATTTTAATCTTTGCATGTATTGAATCTTTGAACGACGAATTACTTTAAACATAGACGTACGAACTTGTATATATACATGTACATGTATTATATATTTTTCCTGCCTAAAACTATGGTGGCTGATTTGTGCCATTCGTGTTTTCGCCCCGCGGCACCGCCATTTTAATTTGTTAATTCTCGACTTTTCGCTTGGCGGGGTCGCGGGACGAAAACACGCTAATTAGTGGGAGCGCGGGGAGAAGTTTTATTTCATTAAACTTCGCCCCGCGCCCCCGCCGTTTTATTTCTTAATTCTCGCTCCGCGCCCTCGCGGGGCGAAGTTTTATTTGTTAAACTTCGCCGCGCGCCCCCGCTAATAAGCCTGTTTTCGCTCCGCGTTCCCGCCATTTAAACTTGTAAATTCTCGACTTTTCGCTTGGCGGGGTCGCGGGACGAAAACACGCTAATTAGCGGGGACGCGCCCCGAAGTTTTATTTTATTAAACTTCGCCCCGCGCCCCCGCCGTTTTATTTCTTATTTCTCGCTCCGCGCCCTCGCGGGACGAAGTTTTATTATTAAACTTCGCCGCGCGCCCCCGCTAATTAGCGTGTTTTCGCTCCGCGACCCCGCCATTTTAACTTGTTAATTCTCGACTTTTCGCTTGGCGGGGTCGCGGGACGAAAATACAAATGGCACAAATCAGCCACCATATAAAACTGAAAATGTCTTTAGTGCAAACAAAATTGAAATAGATCGTTTTTTTTGTTACAATATAATTTTTCTTAACAAAAATTATGAAAAACTTTAGAATCACCTAAAAACTAGTTTTTCCATGTTAACATGTGGTCTTTCACCTAATTTTGGTGAAAAATTGTTGTTTTGTAACACTTATAATTTTTTTAGTTAACCCTTTCCTTTCCCCCATGAGCATATTGTGAAAAATGGCCGTTTTCACTGAAAAGCCTCCTGTTACAAGTTCAAACTGCTATGAAACTATGAAAAATGCTTCAATACTAATCAAACTTGGCACAAATGTTGACTGGACCATTGCCTTTGTAACGACATGCTCAGTCTTAAATTTCCTGTTACCATGGCAACGAGGGGACATCTCAAAATTGCCAAAAATCACTATTTTGCCTCGATTTTTTTCCATCAAAATTTATTTCAAAGTGCTGCAACTTCTCAAGGGATTGAGATAGAGTCAAAGGCTTTTCAGCGTTGGTTACACGTTACATTATGATCGACCTGGGGTCATTTTTAGCCTCTCACAAGTCCAAAATTTTCTTGGCGATGAGGGGGACTTCGCCCCCTTCAAACCCCCCAAACAGAAGGGGGCACATCCCCCTTCTGGCAACCCCCTGATGTATCTTTTGGATGGGGGGCGGCGCCGAAAAAGTGCTCATTTTTTTAGCAACATTTCCGAAACGAAAACATGTGTTTGGGGCCCAAATAGGACATTTTTTCACTATTTGAGGCCTAAAAGGGGGGGGGGTCGAAAGTGCGTTCTTTCGCGTATATATGAGGTAAAGGGTTAATTGAATAATTAAAAATAAATGTAATACTGTATATAAAAGTTTTCATTTGTATGTCAATTATTCTAACACGCTCACGCTTCAAACTATTCCCCTATCATAGGGCACTCATGCACGTGCATAATTTTATTAGAAAATACGTACGGTATGTTTTCAATCAACTTTGATAGAAATGCATTTTTTTCGTAGCATGTATATGGACATAATAGATGCATTAATTAGGTTATTTCGTATTCATGTACATGTACCTTTCTTTTTTTCTGCACAAAAGTTCATCGAACATTTGTTCTTACAATCGTTTTTGTGCAAACCATTTTAAATGACATTTCAGAACATAATGAACACAATCCCTTTCGTATGCGTTCGTTCTTTAATTTCTTTTTCCACCGTACAAACGTGCAAGTTATCTAACTGAAACAATATGCATATTTTTATTTGTATATATCATATCAAAACACATTCATTTCCACGATAGACATAGATCTGATTTAATTCTTATCATTTCAGCCATTTACAGCATAAATACATATTCCGGGTCACGGGGTGGAACCCCCCATATGGATCTCAGAAATGAGCATCGGTAAAAAATATACGTGAATTTCCGCTGCTCCAGATGTGAAGCATAACGATTGACTTAATTTCACTGTAACATCTGGTGTTATGCTTCACATCTGGAGCAGCGGAAAAAATTCACTTATATCTTTTACCGATGCCCATTTTTGAGATCCATATATGGGGTTCCACCGCCGTGATATTCATGCACTAATCATTTTCGTACTGGACTCCTCCATCTAACTTTCGTGAAAGTAGGCTAGGTGGGCGAATACAATTCGCGATCCCTTATTATGTGCGCATCTCTTATATTTTTACGGAACTGTAAATAAGTCTGATTTTGCTCAAGAGATTTAACCATTTTTTTACAGAAATAGCTAGTGTCACCAAGTACCGTGACGCATATTGTCGTGGGGTTTTGTGATTCATTTTTGGCAGAATTATGTCCTTTTGTTTGGTTTTGTTACAATTTCATACCGAATAAAACTTGTATAATACAAATAGAACTTTATTGTTTGTGTATGTCTGTAGTCTATGTTTAATACACAAGGGTCCATCCGCCCGTTGAGGACACAAACAACAGCTGTACATGGTGCTGTCGAGTACGGACCCCGGACATGTCACCAGTCATGCTCATAAGGTAATCGCTATTGACTCACCGTTAGCGGTAGTACATTACGGGGACACCAGTGAGGAGAGGTTTCGGTAGAAACCGTAGCTCCGCCCTTATGGTGAGAAGGTGTAATATTACTAATTTTTTTTCATTCCCGAGGAAGGTTTAATTTTGAAGCACAAATTAAGTGGTGATAATTCATTGTGTACTCCGGTCTTATTGATATCGATATTTGAGAGACCGGTGTGTAATGCAATGGGTGAGAATTTACCTTCATGAAATTACCAGGAGTATTAGCCATAGATATGAATTTCGAGTCAAAAATTGGTCACTGTACGGCAGTAAATGATAACCTGAATGTACACTAACCTGAGTCAATATAACAAGGGTTGTTATGCCAGAAAAATTTAAGGGCCTGCGTGCCTTTCAGCCCGCCACTCTCTGTGCTAGAGGCCCATGCACCCTAGCACAATAATTATTTCCTTGTCGTCCCTGCTAACTTTGTATAGCCACTCAGGACACCGGCAACTTCATACAATCTAAGTCGTGCCCCCTTAATCTCTTCATCCGATGCCTTGTGCCGCACATACCAATGGGAAGAGAGAGTTATTGTTTGTGAATACAGGCACTTCAATTTATATGTGTAGGTGTGTACGGCAACAATCTAGGGTTATTTGTAAAACCAAATGCTTAATGATCTTCCCTAGTATCATTAATATTAGTATCCGAGCATCATTTCGGATTTATAAAATACGGAAAAAAGTTGATTAAAAAAAATAGTTTTTTTATTTAAAAATATAGGCGAGAGTTGGCGCGTGCCTTCGTGTGTGTGTGATAGAAAATCATGTCTGATTGTTCTTGCAAGTTATCCCCCCTTCAGAAAAACCCATCTATTTTTAGTTCAAAATATATGTAGATTTATTGATGCATAGATGCTAATGCGTTATCATAGTAACCGCATACAACTGATATCATAGCAATCTTGAGCGGGAGCGTGTCATTTATCTCACATTATTATTGCTTTTTCGCATCTGTCACGTATTCAATCCTTACCGCCGGAGAAACGATAGTACATGTATATTGAACTAGCTGCTAAGAGAGTGCTGTAATTTATATTGTCGATATATGCAAATTTGTGGAATATTAAAATTGTATTCTAATCTTCTTGTTATCTATCTAAAGGCAAATTAAATAAGCCTGATTGGAAAACAATCTACAAGCAGTGCAATGTTACCAGATTTGCAGTCAGTCATAAATGACATTGACGGAGAGTCGTCAGACCTGTCTTTGGAGCAAAGACACGAACTTCGCCAGAGTCTTCAACAAGTGGTCGAGATGGATACTTCTGAGAGACTGCAACGCGGAATGGCAAGCGCTAATACACCCATAAACAGGAACAACGAGTCGCCTGCTGTAAGAAACATAAAGGTTTTAATGAAATTCACCGGACAAGGGCTACTCGAAGTTGGTAAACTTGTTTCTTTACCAACTAGAATCATTTGCACTGCTATCGCCGCCGTTGTCGTAAAGGTATTTAGCAAGGATATGATGGTACAAATTGCAGACGAATTCAAGGCTGTTCTGGATGAAAAATTTATGACCTGGTGTCACGCAACTAGCCATAAATTCAAGAACTGTGTAAGATATTTAAATGGATTACCGAAACCTGAAGATTTAAACGATGACGTAAGGAAGCTGTATATGGGTCGCATAGCGAGTGATAAT